CTGTTCAGGGTGGCGTCCAAGGACCGCGGGGACCTTCTGGAGGTAAATCTGCAGAATGGCATTTTGTTTGTGAATTCTCGGATCGACCGGGAGGCTCTGTGCGGGCGGAGCGCAGAGTGTAGCATCCATTTGGAGGTGATCGTGGACCGGCCGCTGCAGGTTTTCCACGTGGAGGTGGAGGTGAGGGACATTAATGACAACCCGCCTGTGTTCCCAACCACACAAAAGAATTTCTTTGTTTCGGAAACAAGAGCTCTAGACTCTCGTTTTTCACTAGAGGGCGCTTCAGATGCAGATATCGGAACCAATGCTCTGCTGACTTACAGACTGAGTCCCAATGAGTATTTCTCCCTGGAAGTACCAACCACAGATGAGCAGGTTAAACCACTCGAACTAGTATTAAAAAAACCTTTAGACAGAGAACGATCTTCTGAGCTTCACTTAGTGGTTAAAGCAACGGATGGGGGCAAACCCGAGCTCACAGGCACCTTGGAACTACACATCACAGTGCTGGATGCAAATGATAACGCTCCAGTGTTTGACAGGGCAATCTATCGGGCGAAGCTGGTGGAAAATGCAAGAAATGGAACCCTGGTGATCAGACTAAATGCCTCGGATTTGGACGAAGGTCCAAACAGTCAAATTCTTTACTCCTTTGCAACCGATGTTTCCCCTAAGACAGAAGCCACCTTTCATATCGATTCAGTAAGTGGAGAAATTAAAGTCAGTGGAAAAATAGACTTTGAAGAAACTAATTTATGGAAGATTCAAGCAGAAGCAGTTGACAAAGGCAGTCCTCCAATGTTCGGTCACTGCACAATCTTAGTTGAAGTCCTAGACGTCAATGATAATGCTCCCGAGTTAATAATAACATCATTATCACTCCCTGTGCGAGAGGATGCCCCATTGGGGACAGTTATCGCCCTAATCAGCGTGACAGACCCAGACTCAACTGTCAACGGGCAGGTGACCTGCTCCCTGAACCCTTATGTCCCATTCAAGCTGGTGTCCACCTTCAAGAATTACTATTCGCTTGTGCTGGACAGCGCCCTGGACCGAGAAACCACCGCTTACTACAAAGTGGTAGTGACAGCCCGGGACGGTGGCTCGCCCTCGCTGTGGGCCACAGCCAGCGTGTCCATGGAGGTGGCTGATGTGAACGACAACGCGCCCACGTTCCCGCAGCCCGAATACACGGTGTTCGTGAAGGAGAACAACCCTCCCGGCGCCCACATCTTCACGGTGTCGGCCATGGATGCGGACACGCAGGAGAACGCGCTGGTGTCCTACTCGCTGGTGGAGAGGAGGGTGGGCGAGCGCTTGCTGTCCAGCTATGTGTCTGTGCACGCTGAGAGCGGCAAGGTGTTCGCGCTGCAGCCTCTGGACCATGAGGAGCTGGAGCTGCTGCAGTTCCAGGTGAGCGCGCGGGATGCTGGTGTGCCTTCCCTGGGCAGCAATGTGAC